ATGGCTGGGAGAAGACATACCCAATGGATCTGCTGCCTGGGAGCCTCCATTTGGATCCAGAGCAGCTGGTGGATTAGGGTATGTGCTAGGTAGGAACTCCTGGCACTTGCTGGTGACATGTCTCAAAATAGGGTTTGAGATTAGGTTATAAAAATAATGTGGCTTCCCTGTGAATTCTGTCTTTTTCCCGTCCCTCTTAGCTCACTGGCTCTGGGGAAAGCAGGTTTCAGTGCTGGGAGAAGCTTTGAACAGTGACTCCAGACTGTTAAGTGAATGTCAGGAAAGAAGTCATCCAATAACTAGCCAACGAGCATGGAGCCATCAGAAAAGTAGATTTCCCAGCTGCATTTGAGCCTGGAGTACACAGTCACCTACAGCCTGACGACACACAACCCAAACCACACAGTTCTTAAATTAGCACTCAGAGTAACTGTGCAAAACAGTGTTTATTGTTTTAAACTACTGAGCTTTTGTTTTATTTTATTTTATTTCATTTTATATTTTTGTGAGGCCAAGTATTGCTGTGTAGTCCACGCTGGCCTCAAACTTATATGTAGCCCAGGGTGGCCTTGAACTTTCAGCATTCTCCTGCCTCAGCTGGGATTATAGGCATGTGCCACCACACTTTGCTTTTTAAAAATCGAAGTACCTATTTTGCAGCAATCGGCAAACTGGTTGAGGCCGGCAGTTGGGGGGAGGAGGTGATTTGGTTTTGACGTCCTCTAATGCTCGGAAGGGGAAGACTGGTTAGACTGCTGCAGGGTTTTTCTAATCATGTTTATATTTCATAGAAAATCCTTCAAGGGGAAGGACTTTTGACCAGAAAAAGGTTACAGAGCACACAGAGAGATGAGGTTTCACAAACATGAGAGTTGAAATGAAATTGATTCAGTTCAATTGAATCTGCATTGCAGATGGAAAACTGATTAGAAAAAATAGGCTTTTTTTTTTTTTTTAAACAAAGGGCAGACAGAGAGTATCAACGGTAGACAAGAGAGTGAGAAACATGCAGAGCCTGATCAGTAGCTTAGAAGGTCACAATCAAAGCTCGGATGATTAAAAACACACAGGCGGAATAATCCTCAAATTCAAAAGGATGTGGAATGCCATCACCAATGTTTGTGACAGGGCCGAGGCAGAGGCTCCGGCACACCACCGCTGTGCAGACTTCCAAGACTTTTCTGGAAAACAACTGGACTCAGTACTTCAAGAACCTTAATGACGTTTCTTTCTTTGAGCCTCAAGTTCTTTATTAGTAATTTTGAAAACCCTCATCAACTCAGGGAATAGAAAAATCAAAGCTGCAAAACGGCACACAGTGGACAGCGGGTCCGTCTTTCTTCCATGCTGCCTGCCCCACCGCCTCTTGTCTCAGAGAGGACCACTGAAAATGTAGCTTTATTATTTGATCTCCCTGTTGAAACAGCAACTTGTTCGGCATCTTCCTCCCTCCCTCCACTTAAAAGTGTATTTGATATTTGATGGCTCTTCATTTTCTTCTGCCTGCACAAGATTTCTTTGTATAGATATCCCACAATATGTTGAACTACTTCCCACAGATATATTAAATTTTTTTTTTCTCAACCAGGTGGTGGTAGTGCACGCTTTTAATCCCAGCGCTGGGGAGGCAGAAGCAGGTGGATCTCTGTGAGTTTGAGGCCAGCCTGGTCTACAGAATGAGTTCAGGACAGCCAGGGCTATGCAGAGAAACCCTGTCTTGGAAAACAAACAAATTCCCCCAAATTACTACTCTTCTCTAAGCAACTGTATAAATCTTTCACTTGATGTGTGTGAGAATATATTTAGAGTATGTCATCATTTGACATGGGACCGTAGAGTAAAAAAGACAGGCATATTTTATAGCTGAGTGATACAGCCAAATGTCTCTTTAAAGAGATTTTCAGTTTTTATACACAAGAGATCTATTTGCTCACGCAGGAACCAGCACTGTATAGAATCAAACTTTTTGTTAGGAAAAGACTTCAGAAGTCTTTATAAAATACTGTTAAGTTAAAAAGAAAAACTCAAAATTTTGTATACAGTATGAACTCATCAGCCATGAAATGCATATTATTGGAAGGGATTATGTCCAAATACAGTAGTTATAATAAACGGTCTGGTCACTGTTTCATTATTGTATAATTTCTGTGGTAGTATTATTTAACTTTGTTAGCAAAGATATACAAGAAGTCTCTCATAGATCCATAAATAGAGCAGGCAGTTGACCTGTCTTTATAGCACAATCCTTGCCCAGGTGATGAGTCTAAACACATTTGAGGAGGGGCTGGCGAGAAGGCTTAGTGGTTAAGAGGGCGTATTGCTCTTCCGTGGATTGAAGTTCATTTCCCAGCGTCCATGTGGTGTGGTTCACAACTGTCTGTAACTCTAGCTCCAGGGTTCCTGCACCCTCTTCTGGCCTCCATGAGTATGCTCCACACATACACATACATAAAAATAAGAATATTTTTTAAGACCCACAAAATGCCCCTGTGGGCTAGCCAGTGGGAAAAGTGCTTTTTGCCGAGCATGAAGACTTGGGTTGGATCCCCAGATGTGCCTGTCTGTCACACATGAAGTGTCATACATAGGTCCTTGCCTTTACCAAACACACACTTAATAGCTAGATAAATTAATTAATTAACAAACATGTAATAAGCAACAATAACAAAAAAACACATTTGAAGCGCTTTTTCTGGCGATCTGAATAACTTTCAATTTTCAACTGTACCACCTGGGGGTGGAAGAGAGTTAAAATTCAGAGCTCTTAGATATCCGTGTCAGAAAAACCAAGGGCATTGGCCCATGGGGGCCTTGTTGAGATCGACTTAAAAGTAATGTAAACACTACAAATTAAAATATAAGCCAGGCGTAGTGACACATTTCTTCAGCACTTGGGAGGCAGAGGCAGGAAGATCTCTGTGTGGTCAGCTTGGTCTATAGAATGAATTCCAGGATAGCCAGAGCTTCATAGTGAAACTCTCTTGAAAAACAAAAAACAAAACAAAACAAGAACAACAACAACAACAACAACAAAAAAACCCAAAAAAAATTAAAATATAGATAATAGGAATTGCATCTAAGATATTTGTAACAGGCTTCCTGATGGGCATGGTGGCACATGCCTATAATTCCAGCAACTTTGGAGGCTGAGGCAGGAGAATGGCTAATTCAAGACCAGCCTGGATTAGACAGAGTGAGTTCAAGAAAGATTGTGTTGCAAATACAACCAAGCAAGTAAAACTGTCCACAAACAACACTAGGACAGGAGACCTAAATTAAATGTCCAGTATTGAAGAGAGGAGCTGGGATGGGAGGGAGGTTGAGGGGAAGGGAAGGGAAGGGAAGGGAGAGGAGGCAAGGAAAGGGGAGGAGAGGAGAAAAAAAACTTCCAGGGAAAGTCCCTCCCCTCTTTATTTTTCCCTAGTTTCTGTGTAGCCTTGGCTGTCCTGGAACTCATTTTGTAGACCAGGCTGGCCTCTAACTCATAGAGATCTGCTGCCTTGCCTCCCAAGGGCTGGGACTAAAGGTGTGCGCCACCACTGCCAGGCCCCAGGGAAAGTATTGATACTGTCTTGAGTGCTCCAGCTTCCTGAAGTCCAGCTTATCCTCATCCTCCTGGTGCCCACCTTGACGTCTGCTGTTCCTTGCAGGTGTAGCCAGTTTCCTGCCTTGGCCCTACTTCAACGTGTTATTATTATTATTATTTGATCTATTTTTATTATTTTATGTACGTGGGTGTTTTGCTTGCATGTATGTCTGTGCACCACAGCATGCCTTTGTTAGCAAAAACAGAGTAACTGGGTGTCAGAGTCCCTGGATCTGGAGTTAGGGATTGTTGTTAGACACTGCCGGGAATTGAACTCAAGTCCTTTTCGCAGCCAGTACCCCTCACCTCGGCGTTGTGAACACTTAGGAAGAACCAGGTAAATAGATGCAGGTCCTTGAAGAGTAGCTGGGCTGGGGGCTCTCTCTCGTCTCTGTTGTTGGAGATGACCTTACTGGTAGGCCTTGGGGGTTAGAGAGGAACCTCTGTGACCTTCTAGACAGTTCACAGTTGCCATGCACTGTACCCGGGTCGAACTAGAACGTGCTCTGGAGACGCTTGCTTTGGACTCAAGGGTAAAACGCTTTTTGCCAGTCTTGGTAGCTTCACCTTCATTCTCTTGCCTTTGAGCACTTCTAACCCAGGAAGACGTTGGGCAAAGTCTTTGGCCCTGTTAGGAAGGGTAGATTTCTAACTTTGCTCTCTTTATCCCCTAAATAAGTGTGAATCTAGGCCATCTTTCCGCCTCTCTGGAATTTCAGGCTGGGCTCTAGGCTCCCAGAATAGAGACGGGCTTTGTCTACTACGAAGCAAGGAAGAATCTGCTAAGCCCTGGGGTCCTATTTGGTTTGTTTGTTTATGAGGTAAGGCTTCACACTGTAGCCCAGGTTGGGCTTGAACTCAGTCTCAGTTCGCTCAGTACCGGGATGACAGGTGTGAGCCCCCCCCCCCCCCGCCCCCCGTTTTATCTTAGAAGAGTTGGAGAATAGAGGGAGCAGATGCAGCCTGGCTTTTACTGCTGGGTGAGATTGGTGGTGCACGGGGACCTTCACTGAGTTCAGGTTAAGATACTCAGTGAAACATCGGTAATGCATTTTTCTTGGCATTTGAGACTAAAACTTGCAGCCACCCGCAGGATGGTCCGTGCCCTCCATTCCTTGTAGCATCCCAGGTTTTCAGCATCTTAAGGTTTCTACTGAACCGTGGTCCGGATTTCTCTGTCAAGCGGGCCGGGTGGGAAGGGCCCGGAGTGGGCTTCAGGAAGAAGGACTGGTTCTGAGAGTCGATCAGGCGTCCTGCGGGAAGGGGCTCGGGCTGGCCGCCACCCGCAGCAGAGCTGCCCGCACGGGCCGCGCCCTAGGGCCAGGGCGGGCGGCCCTCTGCAGGTGCGCGGCGGGGGCGGGGCGCGGGGCGGGCGCAATCGGGCGTGGTTTAGGACCCGGGGCGGCTTCCCGGAGCGGCGCTGGAACTCTGAAGTTGCTCCGGACCTTGGCCCCGACAGTCGGAACTCTAGGCGCGATCCTGCCCGCCGTCCTCTGTCCTCGGTCCTCCGTCCGCGGCCCCCCTCTCCTCCGCGCCGGCATGACGGGCTCGCTGTTCAAGGGAAACTTCTGGGTAAGTCAGCGCGACGCCAGGCGGCCCGGGGGGCGCGCCTCTATCCTGAGGGTTCGCTCCCGGGGATCGCGCTGCGCGGGGAGGGCGCGCTCCCTGGAACACCTGGGACCTGACGTCACCCCTCGTTCCCACGCTTGAAAACTGAAGCCCCAAAAGGAGGAGCGTCCCGGCCCCGTGGTTGCCCGAAGCGGAGTCCCGCGGAGCGGGGAGAACCGGGATGGGGCTGTGAGCAGTCACCCCGGCTTCCCGGCCCGAGCTTTGCCCTTCCTGGCAGCTGCGCTTTCTGATTTCCCTCGCAGCCTGCGGAGCGCCCCAGGAACGCCAGCCCCACTGTGTGAGACCCGAGAGCTGGCGGTGTCTTCGCGGTGCAGGTCCTAGTCTTCTCCCTCCCTCACCGAGGCATCCTTTTCACATTCCCTTTACCCTACGGTGATTCCCACCTTCCAAGTGTCCGTTTTCCCCTTAATTCGGAGGAAGCACCTTCATTTTAAGACAGGGCGAGAAGACGTCCACCCGAGAGCTGACCCACAGCTACCGAGGTGCTCAGCCTTTTTTTAGGACCCTGCATGTTCCTGGCTTCGGATCTGCCTACCAGAGCACTCTCCTGCTGTGTGTGACCCCAGCGACAGTTAGAGCCTATCCGTGTCCCTTTTGCTTGAGGTTTTGAGATCCTTCTAGGGCACCGACCATAAGCCAAAGGAATGGGGTCGTATTACAGCGAAGGTTAGTAACCTTATACTTGGCTCTCTCAGGAGGCCTGGGAAATCGGCACCTTTTTATACTGTGGGGGAGAGGACAGATCTTTGTGCAGTTCATAGCGGAGTGCTTATTTTCTGGTTAACGAGTTGAGGTACAGAGGCTTTAGCGGATAGTATGTTGGCACGGTCCTGGGCGTGCCTGCAGCACATCTGGTCCTGGAGCAAGGTTGTCAAGGGAAGACGCTGCTCTTCGACGCTGGATATGTTAGCCTGGGTTAAGTTAAGGACCCAGGACCCTTTCCCACCAGTCTCAGCACCCAGCAGCAAGAGCCAGAGTGTCTTACCTCATTCCCTAACTCTCCTTACCCTAAACAACAGAGACCAACCAACCAACCAACCAACCAACCCCAAAACAACAAAACAAAAACCCCAAAAACCAGAGCTGGAAGTGATGGCTTCCAGCTCTGGGAAGGCTGTGTCACCATCCTAAGAAGCCATTGACAGCTCCCAGCCATCCCGTGTTCACTGTCGAGGAGAGGAGTAGAGCGGAGTCTGAGACCAACGGTGAAGGGTGAAGGTCACAGAGCAGTGCTGGCGGCGAGTTTCTGGTTTACTTTAAAAAGTTACCTGAGAGCCAGGGGGTGGTGGCACATGCCTTTAATCCCCGCACTCAGGAGGCACAGGCGAATCTCAGAGTTCGAGGCCAGCCTGGTCAAGAACGAATTCCAGGACAGCCAAGGCTACACAGAGAAACCCTGCCTCAACAAAACCAAAGGGGAGGGGGAAGTTACCTGAGTAACTGTTTGCAAAGGTACTGTTCATCTCTATAGCTCCAGGAATACTTGGAGTCAAATAATGAAAAGGACTGGATTGTTTACTGTGTGGATTATTATGCCTCACACACATTTCTCCTTTAAACCTCCCAGTTACCCTTAGAGGGAACTGACTCACCACCGTATTTTACTGATGAGGAAACTGACAGGGAGGTTAAGCAACACTCTCAAGGCCCTGGAGCTGATGAATAGTGGCCCAGGGCTCTGCATGAACTAACCACTCTGCTCACTGAAGTGTTTCCAAGGGAGTGACATGGAGTGAGCATGCCCCAGCGTGAATGTCTGCGCTGCCCTTTCCCACTGCTGCTGGGCGTGGGAGAGGGCGTGGGAGAGTGTTAACTAGCATCTTCCTTTCCCTTTCCGCCGGGCTGGGAGTTCTTGGTGGGCTGGTCCTCCACACCTGCTACTATGCTTGGATTGTGGCTACCTCGGTACAGGCAAATAAGACTGGGGTTTCAGGACCTGGGAGAAAAGGGGTAGGAGGAGCCGTTAGAGAAGAAAGGCCACTTACCTTTAGGTAGCCGTGCTTTTAGGGGAAGAAGGGAAAAAGTCTTTTAACGGAGTTGAGGTTTGTGACAGTGACTTTGTTTTAGGGACGAGAACATGTCTGGATGAGGTAGAAAACTTTGAAAGCACAAGCACGTACTGGTTTCCTGGGTTTAACAAACTTGTATGAAATTCTTTCTGTTTTTTCCTTTTTTTTTTTTTTTTTTTTTTTTGAGAGTGTTTTTCCGGGTAGCCTTGGCTGTCCTGGACTCGCTCTGTAGATCAGGCTGGCCTCAAACTCACAGAGATCCACCTGCCTCTGTCTCCCCAGTGCTGGGTTTACAGGTGTGCGCCACTGTGCCTGGCTGTATGAAATTCTTTCTCTATGTAAAGTGCTCCAGGAGGTGTGGCATTTGTTGGGGTTAAACCGTTTCCAGCTTTGCTGGAACATAGCCGTCTCCTGAGGAAGGGAAGTAGAGATGAAGGTTTTAATGGCCTTAGGTGCTTGACCTCAAGAATATAGAGGAGGGCTGGCTGTGGCAGCAAATGTCTATAATTCCAGCCCGGTGTGAGGCAGGACAATTGGGAATTCAAGCCAGGCTGGGCTATACAGCTGGACTTTGTCTCAAAAATAAAAATGAAGAGTATAGAGGAGGGAAAAGGGTCTGGGGATGGGGATTAGTTAGCAGGTGCCAAGGAAATTGGGGCAGGGAAGCCTGTTCTAGGTGGAGACCATGAAATAGAAAAGGAGGCAGATATAGAAACCACAGAAATCAGAGGCAATCATAGGCCTGGGCAGTTAACTGAAAGGTCAGAAGCAGATGGAAGGAGAGGAGCCTCCAGCTAGCTTCGCAGAAGGGGAACTGGAGAATGAGGTGGGGGATGTCCTGAAATAAGGAAGTCAGCAGGAGGAACTGGTTTGTGGAGACAGAAGGAGGAGGGAGAAGTGACAATCAGCAATATTTAGTCAGGTGTGGAACCTGTAGAGACCTGTTATGACAAAGCTCTCCTCTGCCCTAGGCCTCACTTCCTATCAGAGAAGAGTTTTCCAGGGGAAGGGAAAGGGTGTCAGCGGGCAGGGTTTGGGAGTTATTCTAATATCTTTACTGTTGGAAACATATTAGTGAGTACTCTGTCATCTGCTGGCCAACATCTTCCGGATGGTGGAGATGGCTCTGTTCCTTCGGAAAGGGTGTTTTGGGGAGACTACATGGAACAGCACAAAATACAAGTGTGTCATCTCCTGTCAGTGGGGCCTCTGAGGTGAACTCCTTCACAGGCTTGGTGGCTTTGTGCAGTTTGCTTAAGCCCCTTGGACTTATGTTTCTCTACGTGGAATGGTGGAGACAGTGTTAGTCTCTTCCAGAAGACTCTTGTGAGATTAAATGACAGAGCTGAGCACAGTGCCTGGTACCTTGTACTTGTGAGCTGTTGTCACTATCGGCACAGGTGACAAAGGAAGTTAGGGACAGTTAGGAGGAAGGATGAAGAGGCAAGTCTGAGAGGAAGTGCTGGAGTGGGGGTGGGGGGTCCTGTCAAGATGGCTCAGTGATAAAGGCACCTGGAGTGAAGCCTAAGGATCTGAACTCAATCCCCTCATGCGATGGAAGGACAGAACCAGCTTCCACAAGTTGACGTCTGACCTCCACACATGTGCTGTGGCATGCTCACCCTGTCTCCAAGAAAATTTAAAAAATAATACAGAAAAGAAGCACTAGCCGGGCATGGTGGCACACACCTTTAATCCCAGCACTTGGCAGGCAGACGAAGGTGGATCTCTGAGTTCCAGGCCAGCCTGGTCTACAGAGAGAGTTCGAGGACAGCCAGGGCTACCCAGAGAAGCTTTGTTTCTAAAAACTGGAGCCAAAAAAAAAAAAAAAAAAAAAAAAAGAAAGAAAGAAAGGAGGAGGAGGAGGAAACAGCAGTGGATGAATGCCTGTCTTTGGGAAGGAGGAAGGGAACAGAGAAGGAAATAGGGACCAAAGGCGATAGGAAAGAGCCATCACAGGTTTCAGAGAGGTACATGCTGAAGTTGAAGGGCTCATGATCAAAATAAGTACTGCTCCTGAAAATTTAGCCAACACATCTTACTTAAATGTACTATGAAAATATTTATTTAAAGGAACCCTTTGATCTAGTGAGACAGCAGTGTGGGTAAAGGTAAGCCTGATGGCCTGAGTTTGATCCCTGGGACACCCATGGTGAGAGGAGAGAACCAGCTCTTACAGGTTGTCCTCTGTTTTCCACAAATGTACCCTGGCAAGCCCGCATGCCTTCCCAATAAAATAAATGTAAAATACAAAATAAATAACTAATAGATAAAGGAAACCTTTGGTGGATATGCTTTAGAAGAAAATCATATTTCAAAAGTATGTATATATAGATATATTCATATTTTATTTTATTTTGTGTGTATTAGTGTGAGGGTGTCAGATCACCTGGAACTGGAGTTACAGACAGGTATGAGCTGCCATGTTGGTGCTGGGAATTGAACCCAGGTCCTTTGGAAGAGCAAACAGTGCTTAGCCACTGAGCCATCCCTCCAGCCCCCTCAAAAGTGTATTTTAAGATTTACTTTATGAGAATGAGTGTTCTCCCTGCATGTATGTGTAAGCACCATGAACATGCAATTCTCTGGGAGGTGAGAAGGGGTTGTTGGATGCTCTGGAACTAGAATTATGGATGGTTGTGAGTGCTGGAAGCTGAATTTGGGTCCTCTTCAAGAGCAGCAGTTACTCTTAAAAGCTGAGCCATCTCTCTTGCCCCATAATCAGTAGTTTTAAAAACATGGTTCATGCTTATAATCTCAGCAGTTAGAAGGCTGAGGCAGGAGGATTACTTTGAATTTCAGGTCACGTGTAGGTTGTATTGTGAATTCTGGGCCATTTGGGGCTACACAGTGAGATCCAAGAAACATAACAAGAATCCAGGGCATCAGCCCTGATGAAGTTTGCCTTACTATCTGTGCACACTCTTCCGTATT